TTCAATTGCATTACATTGCATCGCATTGCATTACATTGCATTGCACCTGTGCGGCGCAAACCAGTGTTTCATGTAGGGGTTTCTTATCAGGAGTTCTTTTCAGGAATTCTTTAGGGTTTCTTTGGCTTTCACCTAGGGTCTTTAAGGTTTTGCTTAGGATACACACAGGAGAGAATAAAGCCAAAAATTTAGGGTTTCATTTGGGAATTCTTTAGGATTTGATTTCGGGATTCTTTCGAGTTTCATTCTAGATTTCTTTAGGATTTACATTTTTTTTGAGTTTCGTTTAGAGTTTCTGTAGGGTTTCATTTAGGGATTCGTTAAAGTTTCATTTAAGATTTAATTTAGAGTCTTATGTAAGACTTCTTATCGCGAACTGTCATGAGAGTTTTCAAACGTTCATGCGATTTTTTTTCGGCTTTCAGTTAAGGTTTCATTTACGGTCTTTTTAGGGTTTCATTTCAGGTTTCATTTAGGGTTTCTTTACGGTTTAAGGTCTTTTTCGGGTTTCTTAGGTTTTTATTTAAGGTTTCTTTAGTGTTTCATTTCGCGTTTCATTTATGGGTATTCCGATATTCCTGTGTATCATCGTTTTATTACTTTGCCATAATTCCTGCGTATCATAATTTTTTCAATTTGCAGTCTGCAATCATTCCTGTGCCTCATAGTTTTATCAATTTGCAATCATTCCCGTGCATCATTATTTTATCCATTTGCAATGAGTCCTATCCATCATAGTTTTATCAATTTGTTATCAATTTGCAATCATGCCTGTGGATCGTAATTTTATCAATTTGCAATCATTTCTGTGTATCGTCGTTGCATCAATTTGCAATCATTCCTGTGTATCATCGTTTTATCAGTTTGCAATCATTGCTGTGTATCATAGTTTTATCGGTTTGTAATCATTCCTGTGCATCATAGTTTTATCAATTTGCCATCATTCCTGTATATCATAGTTTTATTAATTTGTAATTGTTCCTTTGCATCATGGTTTTATCAATTTGCAATCATTCCTGTACATCATAGTTTCATCGGGTTACAAAAAATTCCTGTGCATCATAGTTTCATCGAATTGCAATCATTCCTGTACATAATAATTTTATCAAATTCCTGTACATCATAGTTGCATCAATTTGCAATCATTCCTGTGCATCATCGTTTGATCAATTTGCAATCACTCCTGTGCATCATACTTTTATCAATTTGCAATCATTCCTGTGCACCATAATTTTATCAGTTTGCAATCGTTCCTGTGCATCATCGTTTGATCAATTTGCAGTCCTTCCGGTGTATTATCATTTTATCAAATTGCAATCATTCCGGTGCATCATCGTTTTATCAATTTGCAATAATTCCTGTGCATCATAATTTTATCAATTTGCAGTCCTTCAATTTTTTCGGGTGAATTGCCTATATTGTGTCATCAATCTCTTTTCATACAAGGACTGACTGTATAATGGTCTCTACATACATATATACATCTACATATTTACAGATGTATAGTCACTATTTGGATGTGGTGATTGATCAGAGTACCAGTGGCTCCTGCCAATCCAAGCTTGTCACTGGGAACCTCTTCGCAAAAACTTGCAAATGGGAACCCCCCCCCCGGGGGGGGGGTTCCCATTTGATAATTTTGCTTCTTTTTTGTAATTTCTATACTTTCAACAAGGCTGTTTGTTGCTGCGGTGACAACCTCATGTCATAACCTGAATTGGAGGTCCCTAAAAAGTCGATTTTTTGAGTATCTTCTTTCGTTTGAAATTTCATCTGATTTTAGGTGACAATCTCATGCTTCTTTCTTCTTGAATGTGTAACAAAATGAATGTTGGTGCGTTAGGATTTACACTATGTGCATCAAGGTTTTATCAATTATCAATTTGCAATCATTCCTGTGCATCATAGTTTTATCAATTTGCAATTATTCCTGTGTATCATAGTTTTATCCATTTGCAATCATTCCTGTGTATCATAATTTTATCAATGTGCAATGATTCCTGTGCATCGTAGTTTTATCAATTTGCAATCAAGTTGCAGTCCTTCAATTTTTTCGGGTGAATTGCCTATATTGTGTCATCAATCTCTTTTCATACAAGGACTGACCGTATAATGGTCTCTACATGCATATATACATCTACATATTTACAGATGTATAGTCACTATTTGGATGTGGTGATTGATCAGAGTACCACTGGCTCCTGCCAATCCAAGCTTGTCACTGGGAACCTCTTCGCAAAAACTTGCAAATGGGAACCTCCCCCCCCCGGGGGGGGGTTCCCATTTGATAATTTTGCTTCTTTTTTGTAATTTCTATACTTTCAACAAGGCTGTTTGTTGCTGTGGTGACAACCTCATGTCATAACCTGAATTGGAGGTCCCTAAAAAGTCGACTTTTTGAGTACCTTCTTTCTTGTTGAATGTGTAACAAAATGAATGTTGGTGCGTTAGGATTTACACTATGTGCATCAAGGTTTTACCAATTATCAATTTGCAATCATTCCTGTGCATCATAGTTTATCAATTTGCAATTATTTCTGTGTACTTGTGAATCATAATTTTTATCAATGTGCAATGATTCCTGTGCATAGGTTTATTAATTTGTAATCATTCCTGTGCATCATAATTTTATCAATTTGCAATGATTCCTGTGCCTCATAGCTTTATCAAGTTGCACTTATTCCTGTGCATCATAGTTTTATCAGTTTGCAATCATTCCTATGCATCATAGTTTTATCAATTTGCAATCATTCCTGTGCATCATGGTTGGATCAATTTGCAATCATTCCTGTGCATCATCGTTTGATCAGTCTGCAATAATTCCTGTGCATCATCGTTTAATCAATTTGCAATAATTCCTGTGCATCATACTTTTATCAATTTGCAATTTACAATTATTCCTGTGCATCATACGTTTATCAATTTGCAATTGTTCCTGTACATCTAATGATTCCTGTGTATCATAATTTGGTTAATTTGCAATGCTTCCTGTGTATCATAGTTTTCTCAATTTGCAATTATTCCTGTGCATCATAGTTTTATCAATTTGCAATTGTTTCTGTGTATCATAGGTTTATTGCTTTGTAATCATTCCGGTGCATCATAATTTTATCAATTTGCAATTATTCCTGTGCATCATCGTTTTATCAGTTTGCAATCATTCCTGTATATAATATTTTATCAATTTGCAATGCGGATACAAAAAGTAGAACTGCAAAAACGCATGACTGATGAAAAGAAAAGGTGGAATAGTACTAGTAGAAGTAGAAAGGCATAAGCAGAAAAGCAAAGAAGCAGAAAAGAAAAGAAGCAGGTCAAGCAGAGAAGCATGAAGAACAAAGAAGCAGGAAAAGCAAAAAGCAAGCAACGCAAAAGGCACAAAAGCAGAGAAACAGAGAAGCAGAGAAGTATACAAGCAAAGAAGCAACAAAAGCAAAAGGCTGAAAAGCAGAAACACAAACAAACAAACAAACAAAGAAGCACAAAAGCAAAACGGCAGAACAGCAGAAAGAGGTCAGGGGTTTAAAAAACAAAGTGGGGGATCTAAAAAACAAGGGCCCCGTATACTTTGATAAAATATCATGCACCTGTGCGGCGCAACCATGCACCTGTGCGGCGCAACACTATCTGTATAATAATAGGGCCAAAAATAATAGAGAGAGAGATATATATATATAAATATGAAAGCTGTCATCCTGATCAACCTGTCGAGTTGTTTCAAGTATTGCCCTGCCCCCCTGGCAAAAAAAAATATTAGGATATAGAGCAAACTATTTGATAAACTATATTTCATTCAAACCTATCAAATATATTTCACAAAAATATTCGTAGGATAAAGGGGGAAGACCTGAAAGTGCGAAGCACCGAAGAATATTTATGCCCATTTGCTTTGATTCGTTGCCACTTCTTCCGGGGTCGGCGGCAGGGGCGGCAGCCCTTAAATCCGGCGACGCCTCGCCGTGTAGTGTGGGGAAGCTAAGCATAGCTTTAGCTACCCGGGGGCGCGCCCCTGCCGCCGACCTCCCCAAAAATCCTTTAGCCTGGTGGGGTTTTCACGTTTTTCGGGGTCTGGGGTGGACAAAAAGAGGGTAAAATTTGAAGATGCGTTTTGGAGGTCCCAAAAATCGGAAAAAAGTACCGTTTTGACACATTTTTCGGACGATTTTTCGCTTTTCGGAAGTCACAAAATGCTGTAAATTACAACATTTTTGCGTTTTAACGTCGTTGGCGGGAGCCATGCAAAAACGCAGAAAATGCTGTAAATACCAGTACTTTTTGGACCCGAGATGCACAAAACACTGCAAATACCAGTGTTTTTGAAAGCCAAGCAAAAAAACATTGTAAATTACAGCATTTTTGGCGGGTTGATCGCAAAAAATGCTGGTATTTACAATGTTTCTGCAATTTCAAGCAAACGTGGAAGGCACGAAACACTGTAAATAGCGGTGTTTTGGCAACTTTTGGACGCCGAAACGCTGGTATTTACGCAGTTTTTTGCTTGTGACGGGGCCACTCCCCTGTAAATTACAGCATTTTTTGCACTTTTTGAACCGATTTTTTGTCTTGATGAATGCAAAAAACGCTGGTACTTACACGTTTTTCAAAAAATCGAAGATCGTGATGTGAACGAAACTCTGTAAATAAGAGTGTTTTAGCCACTTTCGGGGACTAAAACTGTGGTATTTACACGGGTTCTTACCATCTCACAGCACAAAATGCTGTAAATTACAACACTAGGCATAGGCCAACATAGCCTCAAGATGGGCCAACATAGCCCCAAGATGGGCCAACATAGCCCCAAGATAGGCCGCCGACCCTCAGCATGTCATGTTCGCAAGTTCAGATGACATCCCCCTCTCTCTTTCCCTCCCCCGACCCCTACCGGCGTCGCCGGTGTGCGAAGCTCTACAATATATATATATATACTTATATGCATAATGGATATGTATATATATATATATATAGAGGTAGTAATTATACGTATACTAATCCTGCAGCTGCTAAGACTGCACCCCCCATTGCATCAACTGCAAAACTTGGATCAGGCATTGGGCCCCAGTTGGGCCTAGTTCTTCTTTTCGTATCTTCTTCGCAAGCTTGGTGTATTCCGGTTCCAATTTCTTGCAGTGTCCGCACCATGGTGCGTAAACCTCCAACAAGACATCGCGATCCTTCTGGAAGACCTCCTGAGGGGTCTGGAATCACAACAGATGCAGTAAATTTTAATATGGAAAACCACGGGTTTCCCCAGGGAATGATCTACACATGATGGATTTCTTCCATCTCTAAGTCTCTAACTTCATTTACTGGAGGGATGGGTTTATATATATAATATATATTATATAATATATATTTATACATCTTTCTTCTAACGGGTTTGGGTGAGAAAAAAAGTAAACTTCGGCACCCAAACATTGGACGGCTTACTTCTAAAAAAGGAGTCAATATTTCGTTGTTATATGATTGTACATAGTTGACCCAGTTGACCCATAGCCCATGGGCCCAATGTTTCTTCCAAGTTTTGGACCCCAATCGTCTCCTTCTTCAAAGTGTTGGCAACCACCACTTTCACATCCTCCGTGCCAGTGGGTTCTGGCTGAGACTTGAAGGATGGTGCCACCTTCCCCGCATCCACATCCTTGGAAACACGTGACGGCTCCCCAGTGGTCAGGAGAAAAGTAAGGTATGTGATCAAGGGACAAAACGAACAAGTTTCCATTTGCAGTTTCCTTTGGTCCCACAAGTTTAAAAAAAAAACATAGACGCTGTCAGGGTTCTGAGATAAAACCATGGATCTTGTCGGCGGTCATTTCTCCAGTGTACACATATTTCTTTTTGTCTCCGGACTTCTTCTGGACTGCGATCGCTGGAAATTGTGACACTCCCAACATGCTGTCTACGGCATCCTTAAATTTTTCCGTGTCGGTGTAGGTCACAAAATATTTCCCACGAAGTTTCTTGGCAACTTCTAGCATCATGGGTCGGTTCGCCTTCTGAATGTCTGCCATGTTGGAGTCAGCCTTCATCGGGAAGAGGGCCCATACTAAACCTTTGCCTGCCTCTAAGTAGCGGTCAAAGGTGTCGCCATTGAGCTCTCCAAAAAGTGGCATAGCGTTGTCAAAAAGAAAATTGCTCAAGCTGGCATTTTCCATGCTGCCAGTGTATTTGATAGTTTCTTCTCCGGAATGCGTCAGGACAAGCACTGTCGGGCCATTCGTCTTCTGGTAATAGAAGGTGGCTTTCCTGCGGACATCACTGACCCTCTGGTTCTTTGACTTAGCTGCGGAAAATGGCCAAGTTAACGATTTATTTACCATGATTTACCTAATTATGAGAAATGCTGACATTTTCCATCGCTTTCTTCAATTACCAAAGGGTAACTATCATGCTGTGCACGTTTTCCGACGGAGCCCCGACTCCTGCGGTTGTCTTTGGCCACCTGTTCGTAAACAGCGTGCAAGGTACTGTCCTGGGGCCGCACGCCCAATGACCCAACAATAATGCTACCAACATGCCACCAAAATATGGTCATGTGCCCAATACCACAAACAAGTACCATTTGGATCCATTTGGGGATGATAGAAATCCCGCAAATAAAAATGGTGACTTGGGGATGATTTATCATTGGGATTCATTGGGTTTAGCATGGTTTAATCACCAAAAAGATAGAACAGTCAATTACTGTACCACTATTTCAATAGGATTTCGCTGTGCTATCCTTGTTGGGGGTGGAGAAAGAAAGGTCTGACATGCATCTTAATGATGTATGAAGAAAATTGAAGAACTGAATTCCACTTCTCAGCGCTGGCTCAACCAAGCAGCCTTCAAAACCAAGTATGGTTTATCTGCTGGAGGGTCGGGGCTGCTGGTTTCTATGACAGCTGGCCCTGTCCTCGTTCATGGCGGCTGGTGACATCTGGTGACACTCTCACATATGGGACCAAGAACTGCAAAACTGCTCGATACAGTACTGCCACCAAAAATCACCAAAAACCAGGCAACATCAAAATTGCGACTCCAGCATTCACAACACCTTTACTTTACTTTTCAGGGTTTCTTAAAGAATCTTAAAGAAATTTGCTGGACTTTCTTGGAATTAAACATTGGGACAGTGAAGCTGCGGTCCAGGCACATCGATCTCACCCAATCAACGATGGTTTGAGTCGTGCGACCTCCGGTGTATTCGCCTCTCTTCTGGTTCTCGAACCAAATCAGGGTGGGGAACCTGCAAGAAATCACCACCAAGCTGGATCAATTCGATAAGTCCCTAATCCGAGAAATGAATACATAGTCATACATAGGGCTACGGGTATTTATAAATCTGGTAGAGGTATAAATATGGATAAACTATTTAAAAAGCACCCTGACCTGAAACAATGCTGGTTCGGGATAGGTGCCGGGTGCCCAAATCCTAGGCATCATTTCCAGTGACGCAGGGAAGATTCATGATGAATACCCGGAATCTTCAGCAATGCCACCCCAACCTTTTGCCACCCTTTACCATACACTGTCAGCGAAAGATCATGGAAAATGTTGGTCGCCAAGGCTCCCCTTCACTTCGAATCTCTTGGCCAAGTCTTTCTCCTCGTCGCTAACTATGAAACCACCACAAAACTCGGAAAACTCAGGGCCTTGATGTTCCAAGTCTTGGGGTAACACCGTCCGCAACACCTTCATTTGTTTCTCTTAAGTTGTCTAGGAACACTTCTGCTGCTTTTGACAATGCTTCTGCTTTTCCAAGATTTCGGCTTTGTCTGAAAACAAACCGCCGAATCTAACGGCTGATCAAATCAATATCAAATCATTCTCCTATACAGAAATAAACATGGCCATAAGGCCATAATATGTTGGTAAACTGTACGTCCATTTCAATCTCGTTAAAAAAACTAGTACCCTCTGGTTATTTAACATAGCCATGGAAAATGGCCCATTTATAGATGATTTTCCCATTAAACCCTCCATTTATGAGGGATTTTCCATGGCTATGTTAAATAACCAGATGGTAAATGATTCACGTACAGTAAATCCTCCATTTTTGGGACCAAACTCCAGAATTTTTGGCGAGTCCTCGGTGGCGTCCACTTTGGCCAAGGAGACTCCGTCATTCTTCAAGGCCGCTGCAGCTTTTTCCTAGCAAGCTGGCACGTCGACTGGGGATATCCCATGATATCCCACATCTATTCGCTTCTCACGGCTCTTTAACCGGAGATTTTGAAAGATTTGAAAGAGAGAACACATGAGAACACCTATTTGAGCCTGGGAGCCCCAACCTTTCACCCTTTATAAACCAATCTTTGAGTCTCTCACCAAGAATTGTCCCTGGTTTTTGAAGAGTTTCAGCATGTTTCAGCATGTTTCACCCAAGCAGCGTATTCGGGCGCCAGCTTTTTACCTTGGGTTTGAGCAGCTTCAGTGGATTCAACACCGGTGACGCCCTGATGATTTTGGGGTCACAGGAGTCACCTGATCCCGGGGAAGTTGGTTCCATGGTAGTTTCAACTAACTCCTGGTTCCCAGGTGCGGTGAGAACTGCATTAGTGCCGCTGAAGCACAATGTCCACACCAAGGTGCATAGAACTCTGCTAGCACAAACTTGGTGTCCTCACCATGTTTTCTTTGCAGCGTGCTGACTTACTGCCAATTTCAGCAGGCAAATTCACTCAAAACTTCCCAAAGGTAAAACTTATAGGTAAGTCCCGGTAAACCATTGAATGTGGCAGACCCTGCCATAAACCATCGCCAGTCATGACCCATGACTCCTGGAGGTGCTGATCAAAATTCCTCAGCAAAGGACGCTTGCGTGGCATACTCGGAACGACCGAGGGCTGCACTGTGAACCCAAGAAATTCTACTATTGCTTGATGAGTCTAGGTACTATCATAGTCGGGTATAGCCATCCCCCGCGGTCTTCCCTTTGTTGATGGCAGGTAATGAACATGTTTTTTTTTTCTCCTTTCAGAGTCCGAAAAGTGCACAGCTAGTGCAACTATATACAGGCATTTCAACAGCGAAAAGGTAAGGTTCCTGTTCTCAATATGTCAATTTGTTTGGTGCTTGAATTTTGGTAAAACAATTGTCAAGTGTTTTTAAAGCTTCTTTCGAACGATTCCAGTGCTTTCAACGAAGTATCAGAAAGCGCTTTCTCAAGAGACCACTAATGTTGTCCAGCCCTTTTGAAAAGAGGCAAACAAGGAACTCCAGAAAATTCATCAAATTATGATATGCAAGTAGCGGAAAAGCAACATGTTGGGTATTGCCACGAATCGCCATCAATGGTGGCTCTGTCCGTAGTGACATCAGCTCAATTAACATCGACATTGTTTACACACACAAGCATACAAATATAAATCATGTTGCTATCATTTTTTCAGTGAATAAATAAATAAATAAACATAAATAAACAAATATTTGTATATATATATAATATATAATATATATACATATACACAAGTTAAGCATTCGATTGTCCAAATACGTCCAAATTTATATCCATCGTTCCCCACAAACCACCCTGCCTTAATAACGTCCAAGCGTCGCTGCTGTCAGTGTCTTCACCTCCTCGGCCGCAGTTGTGAGCCACAAAATCACCGACGCCAAGGCACCTGTCCGATGTTTTAACCATGCAGGATGGTGCCCCCCCAGTTATAAGTTGGTTTATAAACCCCACTAAGTATAGTTATATCTGCCATAAACCATAGTTATGGGAGTTATAAACCAACTTAGCTAACTATGGGGCACCACCTTGTGGGACCAGCTGATCATGGGATATGTCATGGGGATTTGACTCACAAACATGGTGAGTCAACACATGGGGATGTGCTCTTTCACCATTTTTGGTAGTTCACAGTGGGACGGGATTATTAGATGTAAGTGATATATATATATATATTATATACTATATATATATTATATACTATATATATATATTATATATATGTATGTGTGTGTGTGTCGGTGGGATTATAGGAATGTTGAGTAAAACTATACTGGAATTATCTTATATGGCTTCATACCGGGATCATATATCATATCAAAAAAACAAACAAAATAGAATGGGACTATATGTTCCTTTTTTGATGACACTTATCCACACATAAGTGGAATGAAGAAACTTCACAGAGCCGCGCGCCAAACATGCCAGAAACCCGAACGCTAGTGAAACGACTAGAACTTCACAATTAACATACCATGTTGTCAACATCACAGCAGCCTCGGTCATCTTTTTTTCCACGATGATGATGGGATTATACCGGGATTTCAATGGATCATGATAGGGTGATGATGGGGTCATGATGGGATTATATGTATATATATATATTGCTATATAACACCCATCAATCAGGATATGGGCTTTGTCCAAAAATGAGCGATGTACTCACTTACTCCAATTCTGAGCTGTTTCAAGGGCTGATTGTGATAAGCAAGAGGATTGTCGATGATGTTATATAATGCTATATGGGGTTATATAGATGGGTGTATGTACAATACCGTATGCATAACATACACATATACATATACAATACTACTACTACTACTAATAATAATAATTATATACGATTTATAACAACACTTATAACAATAATATAGGTAAGCACAAACATGATCTGATGGGCATATAGTTCATGGATATTTTCACGGGAAATAACTACTGGTAGTACAAGTTCTGGGCGGGGCGGCCTTTCCTGAAGCCTGGCATCCTGAGGTTAGGAAGAACTATATAATTAGATCTTTCCAATGGAACAGAATGGGATGATTTCTATTGATTTCTGCTTAATGGTTCAGAATGGTTGATGATTTAGAATGGTTGATGATTTCGATTCTATTCTGTTTTGAGAGGAATTCTTGATTCACGACTTCGTCATGGCGTACAAAGCTCGTTTCGTGCGGGTAAGAATCATGCTTGATCCAGCTCACAAAAGTGGCCCCAGATTGAGCCTTTCTTTGACCCCATGTGATTCCATATGCATCACACATCACATATGAATTGAGACCGCTGTGTGCCCCACCTGTTGCCGATAACATCAGTGGAGCGGCCGCTAAGCTCAAAGCTTTTGCAAATCATTTGAACCAAACGTGAAACTGCAGCGCAAAGGCTAAATCGATCCATCCTTCCCCCCTGTTTGATGTTGCCGATGCACATAACGTGGCGGTTCCAACTCCCCAAAGCAGAAATAGACGTTTGTTGTCTTTTCAATCTTCAAACTATGGATATTGAAGGGAGAATGTGCAAACAGTACCTACAATGCCTACAATTGCGTGAAACCAAATCTTCCTCATTCTTAAAATGAGTGACTCAAAGCTGCTGCGCCTCCTGCAAGTGCTTGTTGAATTCTTCCTAGGCTGGGCCAGTGAGAATGTTCTGGCGAGTCACCCCCGCAGAACGTGCTGGACAATCTGGGTCCTGTTTTAAGTGGGGAGACGATACATAATGACGCATCTCTCCCTCTCTCTCTACCATGTTCAACCACCAACACCAAGCAAATGTCATGAATTGTCATGAATTGTCATGAATTGTCATGAATTGTCCACTTAAACCGCTTCAAGCTGTTGTTTCATGGCTGAAATTTTATGGAAAAAACCTGAAAAAACCTCATCTCTTTGGTTCCACGGTTCCAAGCTGTCGAATCCGCTGAGCCCCTGAGGTCCGGAGCCCTGTGTGCTTTGAGCTCTTGGACCCAATCGCTGGGACATTTCCCTCGCACCACCTGCATCTGGTAATATTGGGATTCCTATGAAACACTGGAAATGGGAGAAACCATGGGATAAACCATGATAAACCATGATTCTCAGGATTTCGCAACCATCCACATTGTGGGGCTATATTCATGGCCATACGTTTTTTCTGTTTGCAGCTGAGCGGCGCCAAGCCATCGGAGCCACCTCAGTGGATAAACCATGGGATTCCATGGGATTCCATTGATAAACCATGTGCAATTTGAGGTGGCACCTGTCAATCACATGTCCGTGGGCCAGACTTCATCCTAAGTCAGGAGCATCAACCTCCGAAGCGAAGGAGGCACAGGGCTTGATGCCCCTTTGCCTGCAGCATTTTGTTGCACATGGGCTCTTGAATTGGCTCAACCATCAGAAGGATGGAAACACACACTTGCGAAGTCATGAAAGACGGTCTCTTTTCATGAATGCAAAGTCTGATTACCTCATGGTAGATTGAAGGCATCACTCGGCCATACCGAGTTAAAAAAGGCCAAGCTTATCCGTTGACATTTGAATGTCAGGTTGTTTAAAAGAGAAACCAATACGGCTCAATCAAAAGTGATCATGAAATGACTGAATGACGGCATGCAGGTTCTTGGGTTAGCCTGATCCCATAAAGTACTAACAGATACGAATATGACCACCAGCTATGACCCCAACATATTGGGTATGTCATCCAGGTGCATCATGCAGGTACGTTTTCACAACCTAAGGTGAGCGTCTTCATTGGCACAAGACTCACCAAAGGTCCTTGTGCCCCCTGCTGTGAATTAAGGTGCAATGGTATCCATAATTTATGGAAGAAAGCAGTTAAAAAACTAGTTGGTTGAAATCAGCCGCAAAAAGTGAGGAACTCTTCGGTACAGAGCTTGACACACACAAAAAGGCACGTAGCCGGGCTTGTATTCCTTTAAAGGCGAGAATGGAAGACATCATCAAGAGATTTGTGAAAAAACCGCAGAGGAACATTTGCAACCTCATCAGCGTGTCCGTAAATATTTTTGCCACAGCCAAAAGGTTAGGTATGCTTGAACTGCCTTCTGTACAGGACGCGTTGGCAGTCTGTTTTGGAGAACCCTTTCTGTACATACAGCTGAATGAGTTGGTTGAGATCATCACGGACAAATTCTTTGGGAAACGTGTATCTGCGAATTAAGGTTGCACGGGACTTTAGTCCGGACAAGCGGAGACGCATGCTGCCAGCAGAATGGAGATGAGGAATTTCCCATAGTGGAGGTACTTGGTACCTTACGGTTCGTTGCACTACGTCAATGGTGAACCCAAGGAGTGTACCATCTTGGACGGTTTCCAACTCCACCGGCGCTTGATAAAAGAAACAATCGGAAAGCACTCGCATGGGCAGTGCGGAGCGAAAACGGTGGTCAAACAAAATGAATCTGTTGTCCACATATCTTGTGAACAGAAGCCTTTCTGTACATATCACCGAGATAGTGCGTGCAACGAACTCTGTACTTGACAGGACGGAAATGAATATTTACGAATTAAATGAGCTCGACTCTTCAGTCCGCTCAAACGCAATCGGAGGGTTCCGGCTGAAATGATTGTTCTTTCAGAAACATCTACATAAAAGCCGAGAAGTAAAATTGTCGGCAACCAGCTCCAGTTCGACTGGACTACCATAAAAGTCCAAGTCTGTAAACACTTGGAACACTGGAGCCTGAAGATGGTGCTTCTGTACAATGACAAAACGGCTGTCGACGTACCTGATTGCAAGATGATGAAAATTTGGTTGGGTCAGAACTTCTTGATAGGTACTGCTCCACGATCTCTCGATAAGCGTCACGGCCAAGTTCGAAAGTGTCGGAGAAATCTGACTTCCTATTCCAGCGCCCCTGATTTGGCGCCATACAACACCAAGTGCTGTGAAAAAGTGAGTCCGCTGTACACGTGGGTCGACCCCCTGCCTTAAAACTGAAAAATTGAAAAACAGAAAAACAGAAAAAAAACGCAAATCCCTTGGAAACAGGGGTTGACTCTACACACTAAGGCCTATCGCCGCTGGTATTTGTCGGCCACAACGCACTGTGAATATCTGACAAAGCGAAGCCTTTCTGTACATATAACTGAGATAGTGCGTGCAACGAACTCTGTGCTTTACAGGACGGAAATGAATATTTACGAATTAAATGAGCTCGACTCTTCAGTCCGCTCAAACGCAATCGGAGGGTTCCGGCTGAAATGATTGTTCTTTCAGAAACATCTACATAAAAGCCGAGAAGTAAAATTGTCGGCAACCAGCTCCAGTTCGACTGGATTACCATAAAAGTCCAAGTCTGTAAACACTTGGAACACTGGAGCATGAAGATGGTGCTTCTGTACAATGACAAAGCGGCTGTCGACGTACCTGATTGCAAGATGATGAAAATTTGGTTGGGTCAGAACTTCTTGATAGGTACGGCTCCACGGTCTCTCGATAAGCGTCACGGCCAAGTTCGAAAGTGTTGGAGAAATCTGACTTCCTATTCCAGCGCCCCTGATTTGGCGCCATACAACACCAAGTGCTGTGAAAAAGTGAGTCCGCTATACACGTGGGTCGACCCCCTGCCTTAAAACTGAAAAATTGAAAAACTGAAAAAACAGAAATTCGCAAACCCCTTGGAAACAGGGGTTGACCCTACACACAAAGGCCTATCGCCGCTGGTATTTGTCGGCCACAACGCACTGTGAATATCTGACAAAGCGAAGCCTTTCTGTACATATAACCGAGATAGTGCGTGCAACGAACTCTGTGCTTGACATGACGGAAATGAATATTTACGAATTAAATGAGCTCGGCTCTTCAGTCCGCTCAAACGCAATCGGAGGGTTCCGGCTGAAATGATTGTTCTTTCAGAAACATCTACATAAAAGCCGAGAAGTAAAATTGTCGGCAACCAGCTCCAGTTCGACTGGATTACCATAAAAGTCCAAGTCTGTAAACACTTGGAACACTGGAGCCTGAAGATGGTGCTTCTGTACAATGACAAAGCGGCTGTCGACGTACTTGATTGCAAGATGATGAAAATTTGGTTGGGTCAGAACTTCTTGATAGGTACTGCTCCACGATCTCTCGATAAGCGTCACGGCCAAGTTCGAAAGTGTCGGACAAATCTGACTTCCTATTCCAGCGCCCCTGATTTGGCGCCATACAACACCAAGTGCTGTGAAAAAGTGAGTCCGCTGTACACGTGGGTCGACCCCCTGCCTTAAAACTGAAAAATTGAAAAACAGAAAAACAGAAAAAATCGCAAATCCCTTGGAAACAGGGGTTGACCCTACACACAAAGGCCTATCGCCGCTGGTATTTGTCGGCCACAACGCACTGTGAATATCTGACAAAGCGAAGCCTTTCTGTACATATAACCGAGATAGTGCGTGCAACGAACTCTGTGCTTTACAGGACGGAAATGAATATTTACGAATTAAATGAGCTCGACTCTTCCGTCCGCTCAAACGCAATCGGAGGGTTCCGGCTGAAATGATTGTTCTTTCAGAAACATCTACATAAAAGCCGAGAAGTAAAATTGTCGGCAACCAGCTCCAGTTCGACTGGACTACCATAAAAGTCCAAGTCTGTAAACACTTTGAACACTGGAGCTTGAAGATGGTGCTTCTGTACAATGACAAAGCGGCTGTCGACGTACCTGATTGCAAGATGATGAAAATTTGGTTGAGTCAGAACTTCTTGATAGGTACTGCTCCACGGTCTCTCGATAAGCGTCACGGCCAAGTTCGAAAGTGTTGGAGAAATCTGACTTCCTATTCCAGCGCCCCTGATTTGGCGCCATACAACACCAAGTGCTGTGAAAAAGTGAGTCCGCTGTACATGTGGGTCGACCCCCTGCTTTAAAACTGAAAAATTGAAAAACAGAAAAGCAGAAAAATTCGCAAATCCCTTGGAAACAGGGGTTGACCCTACCCACAAAGGTCTATCGCCGCTGGTATTTGTCGGCCACAACGCGCTGTGAATATCTGACAAAGCGAAGCCTTTCTGTACATATAACCGAGATAGTGCGTGCAACGAACTCTGTGCTTGACAGGACGGAAATGAATATTCACGAATTAAATGAGCTCGACTCTTCAGTCCGCTCAAACGCAATCGGAGGGTTCCGGCTGAAATGATTGTTCTTTCAGAAACATCAACAAAATAGCCGAAAAGTAAAATTGTCGGCAACCACGTCCAGTTCGACTGGACTACCATAAAAGTCCAAGTCTGTAAACACTTTGAACACTGGAGCCTGAAGATGGTGCTTCTGTACAATGACAAAGCGGCTGTCGACGTACCTGATTGCAAGATGATGAAAATTTGGTTGAGTCAGAACTTCTTGATAGGTACTGCTCCACGGTCTCTCGATAAGCGTCACGG